CCCGCCACGGCCTCGCCGGCCGCTGAGGCGCCGCCGCCACGGCTGGCTGAGGCGCCGCTAATGCCGGCGCAGGGCGCAGCAAGGGGCAGGGCCAGGCCGGCGGCTTGGCTCGCGGCGGACGCCTGGTGATCGGAGGTAGGGGGTGTTGCGGGCGACGCGGACGATGCGCCGATGATGCAGGGTTGACACGTGAAGCAGGGTTTATGCATGGTTCAGGTTTTGCCAGTTGCAGCTGAGCGGCGTGGCTGGCAGCGCAGGTTTGACCTCAGGCACCGAGCGCAGTCACCCAAGCCGGAAGCGGTTTGAGCTTTGGTCGTCAGGTAGGTGACGCCAGGCTGGTGACGCTAGGGTGACGCCGGCAGTGGCACCGGGCCTGCTGGCTGGCTCGCAGGTCGGCCCCTGTCATTTTCGGAACAGCGGGGGCTGCGCGCTGGCACGCCGCGCGCGCGCCTGTAAACCCTGTTGCAACTCGCTCACCTGGAACCCCGGGGCGGCGGCTTCGGGCGCCGCGGCCGCCTGCCTCTCCAGCAGGCGCCTGTTTTGTATCTTGACCTGGGTGGTGGCCCACAGCGCCCAGTACCTGCATGGGTGATGGGGTGCGCATGTTGTGCGTGTGCATGTATGTGGTTGGGGTTTGTGCGTGTGTGCATGTGTGGGTGTGTGCGTGGGTGTGTGTGGGTGTGTGCTTGCGCGCACGAGAGAGAGCCGCACTTCGCGGCGCAAGGGTGCAGTCACAAGCGCACATTTGTGTAGGCGAGCAGGCAACCGTGCCAAGCTTGGTAACTCAGAATCTGAAAACGCTGTTCCAGTACGCAGGGGACCATGAGATGCACCCTCACCCATCCTCATGCCCCTGCAGTGCCCATGGCCCCCAACACGGGCCTCCCGCCCGCCCGAGCAGCAGCGTCCCCAGGTCTGCGCACCCCCACTCATAATTGTAGAAGTACTCTTGGCCAGACGCGACCGGCGCGACGACAACGGCAAACCAGAAGGGGCAGCCGCGCACGTACACCTGCGCCAGCGGGCGGCACGGCCGGCCGCGGAATCACAACGCGCTTCTCAGAAGAAGCCGCCGCGTGACGTCACGGCGGCCACCGAGCGTGCGGCGCGCGCCCCGCGCGGGGCGGCGCGGCGCCGGGCGGCCAGGTGGGGCGGCGCGGGCAGGGTGTGCGGGCAGGCAGCAGGCGCACCTTGTGCACCTCGACATTGTACGTGGCGCCCTCCATCCGCGGCATGGCCTTCCAGGGCCCCTCGTGCTCCTGCGTGGGATGCATGATCAATGACTATTCGCAGAACAAGCGCCTGCACAGCTCCTAATCGCCTGCGCGCCGCCACGCAAGGCGCGCGCACGTGCGCTGCGGCAAGGTGGCGCGTTTTGAGGCGGCCGCGGCGCACCGGCAGCTCGTGGAGTGGGACGTCAGGTATCAATATCGAGTCGTTGATGAGCGCGGTGGCTGCAGGAGCATGAGGGGTGCGGCGGCGCGGCTGGAGCGTGTGGGCCGGGCGCAAACGCGGGCTGTGAGCGGTGGGGGCCCGAGCAGCAGACCCCTGGGTGACCCGGCGTAATCCGCAGGTTGAGACGGGCTGGACGTCTTGGGTGGGGAAACGACTGTTTGTCCCACCACCCTGACTGTTGGTGGCAGTATAAGGCGGAAGAGTAAGGTTGCAAGGAAAAAGGCACGGCTACATGTGCGTCCAACAAGGACACCCCAGCTGCCAGCAGCAGCCGCCGCGCCCGGCCCTCATGCGTGCAGCCCCCGCGTCCGTGTGCGCCCACCGTTGCCGTGGCCCCAGGCGGTGAACGACAGCTTCACCTGCGGGGCCAAAAATATATGCACGCGTGCGCGCGGGCGGCGCCCCTCACCGCCGAGCGCGCTTCACGCGGGCTTGGGCGCCCGCGAGCGGGCGGGCGGGCGCGGCCTTGAGCACCCTGGCCCTGCCTCTCGCTCCTCGCGTCAACGGCCGGCGCGCACACGCTCAGCAGGCGCCATAGCTCAAGATTAGGCGGCCGCCGCGGGCCGAATCTCAAGTTCAGGGGATGGCGCGGCAGTTGGTCGACGGCGCCCACCAGCTGGAGGTCTTCTTCGTCCCCCAGCCTCGCGTCCTCGTCTCCTGCATACGAGTCCAGCGCCAGCGACCACTCGACGCCGCTCCACGCGGCGCCGGTCCGCGGGTCCACGCCCTCTGGCGGCCTGCGGGGGCCGGGCGGGGCGGGGCGGGGCGGGGAGCGGCGGCCGCGTGGGGCCCGCTGTCGGGCGGGGTCCGCGCGCGCCATGCGCGTGGCGCCACGCCGCGCCTGCGGCCCGCGAGCCACCCCTCTTCAGGCTCCTGCCCCCTGGGGATCTCTCAAGGGCGGCCGCCTCTCACTGCTTCCCCTCCCTGGGCGCCCTCCCCC